TGATTGATGTAGGACTTAAATGCTTAGGCAATATTAAATAGGAAATTTCACACTTTTAGATGATAGAAATATTAAATATTAAACTTGTAGCGATTTAAACAATGAAAGAAAACAAGCGAGGGGTAAAATTAACTTAGGTTAAGTCACACAACTAGAAGTTAAGATCACAAAATAATCAATTATTTAAGCATAGCATACACGAAGGATTTTCAACAAGAAATTCCTAATTTAATAATGAGACTAGTCACTACGAATAGAGATCCCTCACTCAACTCTTAGTAAAGTTGGCATGCGGAGAATGTTTTCAAGATCATTATGATACCACAATTAGGGATAAAATTAGAAGATATAAGACTTAGAAGAGGGTTTACCTTCATCAAGAGGAGGGAATGGTTAGTAGCAAGATACTGGAGCTTCTGGACAGCAATTAGGGACTTGCCGGACAGCTGGACATCGGGATAGCAATAGGATTTTGCTGAAATTACTGGACAGCAGCTAGGAACTTCTGGACAACACTATGACAATTGAGACAGTAGGTAGGTAGGTTTTCACTTGCTGGAAATTCGGGACAACACCCTTAAAGCTGACCAGGAACTGTGTAGGCTTCCAATCTTCAACTAGATGGTTCTAGATTGAGAAAAGCCAAGTAGTTGATAAAGGGGATGGAGGACAGTAGTTGCAAGAAGCCTTGGGAGGTTTAGTTAGAGGTATTTGAATTTGAATCCCACGAATTAAAGAGGGAAAGGGGTGGCTGGTCTTGGAGGGGAAGTAATGGATGGATGGGAAGGTTTTAATGGGGCATTAATTGAATAGAAGAGAGAGGGTGGGGCCGGGCATGCAAGGAGGTTTGATTTGGGATTTGAAATCCCTTTTTAAACATAGAACATTAACTAAGGAAAATGGATTAGAGGAGAATCTCTAAGTAATTTCAGGTGGGGGAAATTAGGTGGGTTTGGGAAAGAAAATTAAGGCTTGCTTTATTAAGAAACTCAAATAGGATATAATTGAATTAAATTAAATCCAATTTGAAATTTAATTGGACTTAATTTAAGTAACTTTCCAAAAATAGATCATCTTATATTAAGAAATGATTTCAAATTCAAATTAACTGGAAATTGAAATAAATGGCTTTCCTAATTTAAGATGCTTAATACATGGAAAGTGTTAACTAGGGATTTGAATTTTTGGAGGCAAGGGGAGGGGAAGGAGGCTGACGGCTAGGTTAAGGTTAGGGTTTGAGTTTGGCGGTTTAGAGGTGGGGAATGGGGTGGCCGGGTAGGATGTGGTGGTGGTGGGGTTTGGCCGAGAGAGGGAGAGAGGGATTTAGGTGGCTAGAGGGAGGAGGGTGGGGTGTTGGCCAAGAGAGGGAGGAGGGTATTTGGCCAGTGGTTTAAGGGGAAAAGAGGGGAGGATGGGCAGGGGCGACATCGACCACGGACCCGGATGCTTCCTACGGTTGGTGGGTATTACAATGCCCTCACCTAGGGATTTCATTCTCTCCAATAACTCTCAAGCTCTCTAAAACACTCAGGTGCAGAAATTTCATAATATCATTCATCATTTATCAAGGGTGGTGGAGGCTTTAAATAGCCAATACAATGAAGAAAATATAAAAGACCAACTTGCCTCTAGGGTATACACATGACTAGACCCTCAAGTGGAACTTTTATTTGGTCCGGTGTAAGGATGCAGAGGAACATCCGGTTGTAGGCAAAATCCCGCCTATACCGAGGTGTACCGAGTTTTTTGGAAAAACTCGGTACACTTCGGTATAGGCGGGATTTTGCCTATGACCGGATATTCCTCTATATCCGGTCGGAGGACGTAATAATTGTTCCCTCAAGTGAGGGCATAAAAGAAAAAGTACAATAAAACTCAAACTAATACATCAATAATAAATCTAATAAAATGATAATCAAAAGTAAAGCGGTGCAATCGTGTCCATGGATCGACGACCATGCCTCTGGTAGACTCTCCAAGGTCGGATATCCTCATCACCTTATCACTCTATTTGTTTTTAAACAGAGGATTGAGTCAAGCCCCTAATTTTAGGAGTTTTAGTATATACATCGATACCGAGAGTATGTATTTTGATGAATGAATTTTCTTTATAAAAGATCTTGAAGTCCTAATATGAACGTATAAAATTCAAATATTCCGATTGATTTAACGAGCGACGATCCCTTGAGCTTCTGTTTTTAGTTGTGAACATTTCCTATAATAGACCTTGAAGGCCTAATTTGAACATATAAAACAAAATACTTTGGTCGGTGCTAGGATCGTATTTTTATTCGATAGTTTAAGTCGTGTGAACTCCGGTCCATTCAAAGAGAAGGATCATACTTGAACCTAATTTCACTTTTGACCCGCATAACATTCTCAAGCAAGGGTTTAGGATTGTAACACATTTGTTGGAGCACATGCAGGTATCTTAAATTTCATTTTAAATGATATGCGTGAGTTTGTCAGCGTGCTTATACAATGTATTTAGTACGCTTGAGATCTCATTTATTATTTCTTTAGTCCGCGCAACATCTTCAGACGTTACGTGTAAGTGTCATGCTTGTCAGGGCCCATGTGGATGACATGCTTTTCAGTGCATTTTGCATTATGTATTGATGCGTTTGTATGATATGGGTGATGCATTTACATGATGATGATATGTCTGCACATCGCTTTATGATGCACGCATAGTTCATTTGTATGTTGTCTGGTACGTATGCTTGCTACATCTATATGTTGTATAGTAATACAAATAATATATTTGCATACGATATATAACATGCATATGGTATATCTGAGTATGGGACAATGCGTATGCCTGATGTATTTGTGTATTTGCATGTGCATTTGCATGATCAATATAATGCATCCGGAGGATTGATATGATGTACATATAAATGACTCATAATGTATTTGCTTGATCAACATAATATATCTACATGATGATTGGTAGGTTTGTAGAATATATATATTACATTTGTAAGGTACATTGACATAATGCACATACATAGTTAAATAGTGCATTTGTATGATTGGTATGTCTCATCATGTGCTTGCATAGTACTTAATGATTTTTATGCTTGTTCAATATGCATGCTATCTTTGCATGATTGTTGGTGCATTTGCAAGATGTATTTGTATGATCAATGATATGCATTTATATTATGCAGTGTGCCCATACGATTGGCAGTATACATACATGCCAATTTGTGTATTTGTATAATGCATTTGTATGTCTTTGGAACACGCGCATTATACAATAGGGTCTTGTAGGTGTCACCCTTCGATGATTTTAGCACGTTACGCGTACTTTAATGAAGGTTCATATAACCCGTTACACATAATAGCGTACTATTTTGTTTCTTTTCAAGGACAAGTGATCATGGGGTGTATGGCACAATCACGGGGCGCTTACGAGTCTCCTGACTTTAACTGATATCATGCACGCTACTTGAAGCATTTGTGCACCCGTGACTTGCAATGTGATTAACGTTTATCATTTTATTATGAAGCGTTTAGTCAGAATAATTACCAGGGATATACTGGGAGGCCTACGTAGTAACCCTTAATGTAAATACATTTTTGTAGGAAAAATTAATAATTTTAGTTTTACCCCTTCTCCTTTTAGGATAATTATCGCTCGTAGTCAGGTGTATTTATGCTCGTATGAGAGTGTGAGGGTTAGTTGGAGTGAGATGAGGGTTTAAGTGTGGATTATGTGAGACAAAGGGTATTTTTGGAATAAAATTATTTAGTTTTAGGTTTTTTCCAATTCCCTTCTTTCTGTCTTTTATTATTATTTAAAATTAATTTAAAATATAAAAACTGATAATATTTTTTTTTATAATCATGCATCGCTTCGGTCATCACATCGCCATTATTCGTGCACGTCAATGCCTCCTCGTTTCGTGCTCGCAAAGTTTTAAATTTTCCTCGATCAACGACCCCAATCAATTAATATGGGTGTTAATCTTTGTTGTTTCCGGTGTTTCGGATGCATTGACGATGCATGTTTCGCAAACAAAGGCCATTTCGATGATTTTAGTTTTTCGGTTCAAGCGCGTCGGGTGAGTTACGTGTGGTTTCAAGTTTTTTCTCTTTCAAACTTCTCCTTGCACGGTCAACTTAGCCTTGACACTAGTATTGAGGTCAAAACTTTCCTTTTTTTAAAGAAAGTAATATAACTTTAGTTTTTACATTGTAAAACTTTAGATGGAAGAAAGCAGTCTTTCTCAATTGTTGCTGACCCAATATTTACGTTGGTATTTATGTTGAAAGTTGCCTTTTATGTCGAAAGTTGCTTGGGTGCCCCACGTTAGTTGGTTACCCATGCTCGTTCACTTGCTTTCACTTATGGCTTGTTGCTGCTCTTGATTTGGCCTTCGCTCGCCCATTGCTATCCCACTCCCTCTCTATTGCTTTACCTCTCCCTCTTTGTCTCTTGGCTCGCTTAATTTCCTGTCTTTCAGTTTCATCTCATGATTTAATAGACAGAATCAACTACTCGTTTTTTTAATTTTTAAATTTGAGAGTTTACTATTTTCCCCACTAATCAAAATTTCATCCTTTAATGAAATTTTGGTCCCTTACATCCCGATTGTTCTTTATCATAGGGCATTGATAGATTTTTTCTTAGCCTCAGATATTTTTTGCTTTTTTAAGCATATATATATATATATATATATATATATATGTATGTTTTATGTCTTTTCACATGCACAACTAATATCTGCTTCAGTTTGCCATCACATGATACAATTAAATTGTCCTTATTTTGTAGGATAACAATTCATGTAATTGATTATCTTCGTGATATATGAACACAAGACTCCCTTTTGCTTTCAACAAATTACATATTAGAGTCTATGCTTATTCTATGATTTAGAATAAAATTATATCATTAGGAAGTCCAAAACTCATAACCAAACCTTTTTTTTGGGTCAATTGATAGCTTTTATGAAAACATAGTTCGAAACATTTTTTTTTCCCATTTGCAGCTTCGTGCATTGCCCTATTGTTAGTTGTGGTGCTCGTTTGAGCTGTTTAGAGGACTTCGAAGATCATTACCATGCTCGACATATGTCTGCTTGTTCAATATGCTCAAGAGTATACCCAACTTCAAGGTTACTTAGCATACATGTTTCTGAAGCCCATGATTCTTTCTTTGCGGCAAAAGTTGCACATGGGTTCCCCATGGTACGTGTTTTCTCCAGCCCGCAGTTAAACCTTTTATAGAAATATCCATCATTTTTAAAATATAAATTTTCTTTGTTTTTTTAGGCCTTGATTTGTGAGTAGAAAAATAATTCATTCATTTCCTTAATTACTCATTAAGATCATCTGGTTTGAGCATGTGCTTTCTACAAGTTGGGTTGTGTTTGTGCGCTATAATTAGATTGCTTGATTTCATAACATTTTTTTTTTATTGCAAATGCTAACCAGGTGACCTTTGTTATCGACAGGATATGCTACATTTGATTTTTATTATTTGACAAAAGAACTCAATTAAGACTTTAAAGTGTTGACTTGACGTGTTTTTGTTGAAGTAGTGTACATCTATTGATTATTGGTGCCTTTAAGGTACTACGGGCATAATGAATAGCAATGTTATTTCTTTATCGCTCAATGTCAAGAGCATAATGAGTACTTCTCTTCATTGTAGCACAGAATAATCCTTATGTCTTTCATTGCGTTCAACAGATGGAGTTCAGGCTTAACATTAATGGCATTAGAAGAACCTTAATAGCGGGAGGGTACTGTAAGAAACATAGCAGGTTAAGTAAGCATTGAGTAATAGAGGTTATGAGAATGCCTGTAATATGATAGGAGCAAAGCTAGTAATTTGTTGTGAATCAAATATGCAAGAGCATTTATCAATTATGGATAATAAGTGGAATGAAAATAGGTTATAAATTGTTAGGACAGTAATAAAATTTTTACTAAAACTAAATGAAGACTAAGAATGAACTTAACAAAGATCACAATCACGAGCTATAAATTTATGTGATTTGATGATATTCATCTATGTCGACTGCCGTATAGAGATTAAATATTTCACTAAGTTTTAAAAGAGGAGCATATCAAAGTTTTTTTTCCATACATGAAAAAATAAAAATAGATATATCACTTTCTCTATATCAATGAGTTAGACGGGATGCTGCCACCTACTGCAAAAATGAGAGCTAAACCTGAAGAAGATGTTGCTACTGCTATTATTAAAGTCCTTCCTCCTCGATTGCAAGAGCTTCTTTCTCTCTTCTCTCGTCTACTGCAAAAGCTTCTCTCTTCTATAACTCAAAATTTAATCCCCTCTTCTCTCTCTAGTTCTTCCTTTTCTTCCCATTTACTCATGGTTGTGGTATTGCCTTAATATCTTGTGATTGGTTGAGTTTTTCTTGAAAGCCTTTTAGCCAAATCACCTCTTTGGTGGCTTCAATCATAACTTTATGTTCAACTTCTGTTATTGATAGTACAACTATCTTTTATAGCTACGACATCCAACTAATAGTAGTGCTACATGAGGAGTAGATGCATGCAGTAGTACTCTGTGTATTTAGGTTTCATTATAGTTCTGCATCATGTCCCTATAGTTTCAAGAGATCCCTTTTAAATTTTAATGAGCGATTGATCTTTCAAGTAGCGTATGATCATGATAGGAAATACTTGAGTTTGCAAGTAACCCTAAGGGAAATACTTGAGATCGCAAGCAAACCTATCACTAATTGGTGAAAACAGCGAGAATAATGCAAAAACTGGGCGAAATCAGGCCCAAAACGATGAATTGCAATAAGAGAATCAAAGCCAAACAGACGAAGCAAGATACAAGTGATCCTCAATTTGAGAGGAGGATCATTCTCTCCCAAATCTCTAGACAAGCTATCTAGAGCCAAAACACCCAAGAACTCCAAGAGAAACTCAAATCATGCATAACCTAACCCTAGAACCTCTCATCCTCTTTAATACATAACTTTCCTAGTACAAATTCCCTCCCAAGCCCTAACCCCCCCCCCCCCCCCCCCCCCCCCCAATTAAAACATAAACATCAAACTATTTAATTACATAATTTGAATTCAATATGGCTAGTGGAGCCCACCCATGTGGGCGGCAAGAGGAAAGGAGGCGGAACTTGTCCACCTCCTGTATACCCGAGCTGGCCTTTGAGCCGGTTCAACTTGAACCGACCTATCAATTCCGCCCTTCCAAAGAATCACCTTGTCCTTAAGGTGAAAACAAAGAAACTTATGTTTCATCCTCTCGTATGGTTCCCACGTGGGATCATAGTCAGACATATTCTTCCATTTGATTAGTACTTCTTTAGCTCTATCTTATTTTTTGCGAACCCCCATCAACTCTATGGGTTCTAGAATCACCTCCAAGTATTCAGTAAGTGTTGCCGGTAACTCTGAGCTGGTTGTATAATCTCTAATGGGTCTTCTCAGTTGCAGCACATGAAAAATCGGATGAATAGTCACTATAGGTGGTAATTTCAACCGTTATGCTACCGTTCCAAATTTTTTCCAATATTACACAAGGTCCAAAGATTCTTGGAGCGAGCTTCTCATTTCTCCTATTGACAACTATCTTCTATCGGTATGGTCGGAGTTTCAAGAACACCCTTTCTCCTACTTCGAACTAGATGTCCTTCCTATACCCATCAGCTTGTTTCTTCATGATTTGTTGAGCTCTTAGTAGGTGTTTCTTCAATTCCTCTAAAACTCTATCTCTCTCCCCCAAGTACTCCACTGAAGAAACTGGAGTACTGCTATTCTCAAAGTGCATCAAGTGAGGAGGGTCCCTTTCATACAGCACCTTGAATGGGGTCATCTGTGAAGCCGAGTGAAAAGAGGTGTTGTACCAGTACTCCGCCCATAATAGCCACTTGGCCCAAAGCTTGGGTATCTCCGACACAAAGCATCTCAAGTAGGTCTACAAACTCATGTTGACTACTTCCGTTTGGCCATCTGTTTGAGGGTGGTAAGCGGTGCTCCTCTTTAGAATTATCCCCTGTAACCTGAATAACTCCCTCTAAAAATGATTGATGAACACCTTATCTCTATCTTATATGATTGCCTTTGGTATCCCATGCAATCTGACCACCTCCTTGATGAAAGCTGAAGCCATTGTCACTGCGATGTAAGGATGTCGGTGTTGACCTCTGTATCGAGAAAAAAAAATAAATAATAAAATCCTACCTACCTGTCCGGCCACGTTCGAGCGCCGAATTCAGCACGAATAAGAAAAGCGAGTGGAGGCCGGGGCCGAATTTTCGGAGCCCACAGTCGGAGGGGAATAAAATGAGCATACTTGCTCAATCTATCCACCACCACCAGAATCACCGTGAAGCCTTCCGACCGGAGCAGCCCATCTATGAAGTCCATGGATATCTCCTCCCATACTCGTCCCGGTAACGTCAACGGCTGTAGTAGTCCCCCTGGTGACATAGCCAGGTATTTGTTCCTTTGATAGATCTCACACATGACCATCATCTCCTCTACATCGCATTCCCTTCCAGTAAAGCTCTACAGTTAACCTCCAGTAGGTCTTCTGTACCCCTGAATGGCCCCCAACCGCGCTTTCATGAAATTCTTGGAGTAAGTTTGTGATATGGATAGAGGTCCTGGGCATCACGAACCTCCCCTGATACAACAGTTTGTCCCCCTCTACTGAGTACCCTGGGTGGCTACCACCTTCCCTCGATAAGTCCGTCTTGATCTTACCCAACTCATCCCTAGAGCTCTCCTCCTTAATGGCCTCCCAATCCTGCATCAAAGGAACAAACACTGTCACTGTCTGTAGTTCTCCCATACATCTAGACAAGGCATCTACCGCCCTGTTCTCCCCTCCTGGTTTGTATTGGATTTCAAAATCATACCCCAAAAATTTCGACAGCCATCTCTGATGCTCTTCAGTCATCATCCGCTGTTCTAACAAGTATTTTAGGCTCCTCTAATTTGTTCTGACAATGAAATGCCTACCTAACAGGTAGGGTCGTCACTTCTGGATGGCTAAAATGATAACCATCAACTCCCTCTCATAGATTGATTTCAGCCTGGCTCTGGCTGCCAACACCTGCCTGAAGTAGGCAATGGGTCGCCGATCTTGCATGAGTACTGCCCCCAATCCATATCCTGAAGCATCTGTCTCCACTAATAAGGCCTAAGTGAAGTCTGGTAGAGCTAAGATAGGTATCGTGGTCATAGCCTTCTTTAGTTTCTCAAATGTTGTTGTGGCTGCCTCTCCCCATAGGAATCCATCTTTCTTTAGCTGCTCTATCAGTGGCAATGCTATAGTACTGTACCATTTTACAAATCTCCTGTAGTATCCCATCAGCCCTAAGATTTCTCTCAACTCCTTCAGATTCTTAGGTAACGGCCATCTCAACATAGCCTCCACCTTTGATTGGTTGGCCACCACCCCTTCCTTGGACACGATATGACCTAAGTACTCCACACTGGTCTGGGCAAAACAACACTTCTTCGTGTTAGAACTCCCAATACCAACTTCAAGTGCTTCAGATGCTCAGTTCTGCTGTACACCAAGATGTCATCAAAAAACACCAGCACAAACTTTCAGAGATGCTGTCTGAACACTCTGTTCATCAGTGACTGGAAAATAGCAGGGGTGTTGGTAAGCTCAAACGGCATAACCAGAAATTCATAATGCCCCTCGTGTGTCCGGAACGTTGTCTTTGAGATGTCTTCCTCCCTCATCCGAATCTGATGGTATCTCGACTTCAAATCAAGTTTGGAGAATATCACTGCTCTAGACAGTTCATCCAAAAGCTCGTCAATCACCGGAATGAGAAATTTATTCGGTACAGTCTCCTTATTCAATGCTCTGTAATCCACACAAAACCTCTAGCTCCCATCATTTTTGACCAGTAATATTGGGCTAGAGAAAGGACTCACACTTGGTCTGATGATCCCAACCTCAATATCTCCCTAATCAGCTTCTCAATTTCATCCTTCTGAATCTGGGGGTAGCGGTAGGGTCGTACGCTAATCGGTGACACCCCTCATGCTCCTGTTCTCTGAGTGGTGGTAACCTTTGAGGTGGCTGGAACACCTCACTAAACTGTTGTATGACTGGTTGTACTACAAGAGGAATGTCTCCCTCTTCCCCCACACTGACCCTCTCTAATCGTTGCAGTTCTACCAAATATCCACCTCCAACCTCCTGTATGGTTCTGATCATGGACTTGAGAGATACTCCTGCTCTACACAGCCCAACATCTCCCTTTGTCACCATTCTCCTTCCCCCCACAACCAGTTCCATCTTCAGTGCTCCCCAATTTACCTTGGTCTCCACCAAGGTTTCAGCCATTTCATCCCCAAGATGACATCCGTATCCCAATTTCAAGGGAAGAAAATCTTCCCTCACTTGTATCCCCTGAATGATCAACACCACTCCCCTACAAACTCCTCTACCTATTTCTACCTTTTTGATGCCCATCATCACCCCATACCCTCCTATATCCACTAGTTTCACCCCTAATAGATCAACAATCTCGGTGGAGATGAAATTGTGGGTTGCCCCACTATCTATCAACTATCACATCCCTATCAGCTATCTATCCCTTCACCTTCATAGTGTGATTACGAGTAAATCCCATTACTGAGTTTAGGGAGACTTCTGCCACATCCAAATGCAACTTTTCCTCGTCTTCCGTCTTTAACCTGATTCCACCTCCCTCTTTAGCTTCCTCATCATCATAGATGGTGAGAACCTGAAGAGTTCGGTCCTTATACCTATGCCCCAACATGTACTTCTCATCACATTTAAAACACAACCCTTCGCTCTTTTTTCTTGTATTTCCTTCTCCGTCAGCCTTTTTAAACTCCCCCCATTTTCTCTCCTCCAGTTCTCTCTCTTGGCACCTCCTTCAGATTCCCTGGTGTTGCCCCTTGGGAGCCAAGACTGTAGTCATCATCCTGTACGACCCCCCCGGGTTGCTCCCCCTAGCTCCTCTCTCCAACTGCTTTTTATCCTCCACCAACTTGGCTAGCTCCATGGTATCCCCTAGATCTCTTGGCTTTATCACTCTAACTGATGCTCGGATCTCCTGTTTAAGTCCTTTCATAAAGTTCCTCTCCAGCATCGTCTTTGAGAGTCGATCCAATTCGCTGGCCAAGTACTCGAACCTGTCATGATAATCTGTCGCGGTCCCCTCCTGGGTCAAGGCAAAGAATTGCTCATAGAAGTCTCCTCCCCTACCGGTTCGGAAATGTTCCAGTAAGCACTCATTGAACTCTCTCTAGCTCCTGATGGGTTGCCTCATGTCCCACCATTGGTACCAATCCAGTGCCTTTCCCTCCAAGCATAGTCTTGCTGTTGTCAGCTTCTCTTCCTCTATCAGCCCGTTGATGGAAAAATACCGTTCGACCTTGTAGATCCAACTATGACCATCCTCGCCCTCGATAATGGAAATCTTCAACTTTCTCACCTTCGGGTCACCCCAATTGCCCTTGGATCCTCCATATCTTCCCATGCCATGAACGGGAGGTGCTCCCTAACTATCACGATCTTCCCTCTGGCGATCATAATCGTATTCATCATCAACTTCCCCTCTCCTTCTTTCAAATTTGGCATCTCGGTGGTGGAAATCCCCTCTTCTTCCCACCAAATCAGTACCCCTCTTTCGTAGCCCATACTCATCTCCTCTCTAGAAAGTGATTCTAGAGATGACATGCCGTCCTCTCCCTCAAGGATCTCCACTTCCGGATTTTTCCTCCACCTAAACGGGTTTGGATTCCCTCCTATACCATGGCCCCCGGTGGTCTCCTTCCGATGTCGTCAGATTGGTCTTCACCTCTAGTAATTTCTTCAACATCTCTTCCATCAAAGTGAACTTCCCTTCCAACCTTTCATTGTTGGAGGATATTTGATTTTGAAAATCAAAGAATTTTCCCCCCAAATCTGATTTTAATTGCCCAATTTCACCTTCCAACACTTCGACTTTCTTTCCGGCCATCTTTCTTCTCAAGGATCTGAAGAGAGCTTCTTCCGGATGCGAAAAAATCACTGAAATTTTATAATTTCAGCCGCCAATGGTCCCAAGATGATGCTCTGATACCAATTTGATAGGAAATACTTGAGTTCGCAAGTAACCCTAAGGGAAATACTTATGTTCGCAAGCAAACCTATCACTAATTGGTGAAAACAACGAGAATAATGCAAAGACTAGGCGAATTCAGCCCAAAACGATGGATTGCAATAAGAGAATCAAAGCTAAACAAAGACGAAGCAAGGTACAAATGATCCTCAATTCGAGAGGAAGAACGTTCTCTCCCAAATCTCTAGACAAGTAATCTAGAGCCAAAACACCCAAGAACTCCAAGAGAAAGTCAAATCATGGATAACCTAACCCTAGCACCTCTCAACCTCTTTAATACTTAACTTTCCTGATACAAATCATGAAGACCTTAGCTTTTAGTGATTTATATAATAGTTTAGATACTAAGGAGGGAGAAAGATATATGTAAAAGTTAGTCAAACAAAGAGATAGGAGTAGTAAGGATTTAGTTCAAGTGATGTGTATTAAGGATGAAGATCAAAAAAATACTTTTCTTAGAAGATGATATTCAACAAAGGTGGACGAGATATTTTGCTAAACTTTTTAATGAAAATTGTAATAATAAGATTGACTATAGTGACCTTAGCACCCTAAATGAAAATAAAGATATCTGTTTTTATCGACGTATTAGTAAAACCGAAGTTAGAGAGGCTTTAAAGAAAATGAAGGGTGGAAAAGCTGTTGGACCTGATGATATTCCAATAGAGGTGTGGAAATGCTTAGGAGATGAAGGAATTTCTTGGCTTACTAAACTTTTTAATACTATTTTGAAGACTAAAAAGATGCCAGATGAGTGGCGAATGAGTGTGTTAATTCCTATTTTTAAGAATAAAGGTGACGCACAAGATTGTGCGAAATATAGAGGAATTAAATTAATTTGTCATACTTTAAAACTACGGGAGCGAGTTATGGAGCATAGGTTGCGGCGTGATACTAATGTTTCTCAAAATCAATTTAGATTCATGCCGGGTAGGTCGACTATGGAAGCCATACATTTATTAAGAGGTTGAATGGAGAAATATAGAGAAAATAAAGAGGATCTACATATGATATTTATTGATTTAGAAAAGCATATGATAAAGTTCCAAGAGAAGTGCTATGGAGAGTTTTTGAAAAGGAGTTAATAATGCTTATATTCAAATCATTAATAAGAGTATATGTTTTAGATATCTTGGATCTATTGTTCAGAGTGATGGTGAAATAGATGGGGATATTATCAGCAGAATTCAAGTTTGATGGTTGAAGTGGAGGAATGCATCGAGCTTGTTGTGTGATAGAAAAGTACCCCTCAAACTTAAGGGAAAAATCTATAAGATGGTAGTGAGGCCTGCAATGCATTATGGTGCTGAATGTTTGCCATTAAAAGAGAAGCATAATACTAAGTTAAGTGTGACAGAGATAAGGATGCTCAAGTGGATGAGTGGCTTTACCCTTAGAGATAGAATACGAAATGAGCATATACGTGAAAAGGTTGGAGTAGCTCCAGTAGAAGATAAGATTAGAGAGAGTCGCCTTAGATGGTTTGGTCACATAAAACGGCAGCCTTCCAATGACCCGGTAGGAGAGTAGAGGTATTAGATTTGACTTATGTTAAGAAAGGTAGAGGCAGACCTAAAAAGACTTGGTTAGAAAATATTAGGAATGACCTTTCTTTATTAGATTTAAATGAGAATTTGACCTTTAATAGGACACAATGGAGAAAAAGGATTCATGTAGCCGACCCCATGTTGTGGGATAAAGGCTTGATGTTGTTGTACCTAATTTCTTATCAACATACTATTATCGACTTGTTAGTATTTTTGATTTCATTCAAACTCCCGTGAGCTGCGAGATTTTTCACCAAGTTCAATGCTTGCATTGTTATTGGCGTGCTTAAGCTGTAATTCTTATCATTAATCAGCAAATTACCATTTTAATCCTATTAATGATTTAATCTTTTAGAAATGTGATTTGTGGAAGTTTGGTCTAAAAAGTGTATATCATTAGATTGCATCCTCTTTCGTAGATTGCCATACATGTGGCATTTTGTTATCTTGTTTGTATTCCATTTCTCATTTGTTATTGATATTATCTTTTATAACAGTACGAGTGCTTGGTGGAAGGATGCGGAGCAAAGCTGAAAAGCTATAAAAGCCGGCAGCAACATTTAATAGACAAGCATAAATTCTCTTCTTCATTCGAGTTCAAAAAGGCAAAGCCATCCAAACACCAACGCCAAAACAAGCAACATGCCGCCCAAATGAAAGAGGTCTGGGAGGACAGAAAGCCTTTCACAGTACAACAAAAGAAATATCAACCAAAGAAAAATCCCCAGAATGAACAGGAATCTCTTTGTAATAGAATGGAAGTTGAGGAAATCGATAAACTTGTTTCTTCTGTGTCAAAGCTAAGCACTTCAGATTCTACTCCTTCGAATATTAGCTTTGGTCGCCGTCATAGTCGAGCTTTCACATTCATCCCTCGCTCGCTCCGGCAGAATGTAAAACATCAATCAAATGCCATGGAATAGTCTATATGTAGCTATCCATCCGTATTGCCAACTTCAGCAGAGTCATGAAACTTGTTGGTTGGTATCCTCTGTTTGAAGTGAAATACGGAGGATTGCTTTGAAAGTAATTGGTCTCATTCCAGAGTTAGATGCATCGAAATGCTCTCCACTTCATCAAAATTAATATTTGTAACCTTGATGAGTTCTTAGGAAAATTGCAGCAATTTGTAAGGTGATATACTTTTGTCACAATATGAGATAGAGGCTTCTCTTTCTTCTTTTGATTCTCCCATGCTGACAGCGGAATTTGTGGGCCATGTTTTGTTCACAATCAAAGTGTATAAGTAGATCATTGGATTTTGTGGTAGTTATAATTATTGGATCCCATTATATTGGAAGCATCTTGAAATTTCAAGCACAAGATCTACTTTCTATTTTTTTCATCTAAAGAATGTAAAATATTTATAATTTTTATAAAACATGTATGCATAGCTGTAACAAATTCTATGAAAAGTTCGTGTTCATGTCCAAGATGATTATCCCATATATATATATATATATATATAATCCTGTTTTGAGTGCATTATAGGGAATAATTGTTCACCCAGATTAAAGTTCATCGGGAGCTATCTGGTATCGTCTTAACTCCATATACAATTTAAGTTGGTGGTCATGAAAGCTTGTGCCAAAGCTTTAAGGATATTGCCTCCAATAAATTTCAATGTACGATTTTTTATTTGTTTTCAATAATCAAATAGAGCATTATCAAGAATAGGAGTTTTTGTTGAATTTTCTTATGGTGCATTGCCGAGAGGAAATATGTACTTGTGGATGAACACAGAGAAGCCTCTCCATAATGAATTTTTATTGCCTCAGGTTATCTGACGTAGAGATACATCAGGTAGCCTATAATATATCGCCGCGTGCTCTTAATCTTTACCGCGTGGCCCGACGACCCAACCCGGAACGAATCCGGGATTACTATGTTCGCGTATTGCTCGGTATTTGCTCGGTATTACTAGGTACTACTCGTTATTTGCTCGGTATTGCTCGGTATTTGCTCGGTACTTGCTCTGTAATGCTCGGTATTTGCTCGGTACTTGCTCGGTATTTGCTCGGTATTTGCTCGGTAATGCTCGGTACTTGCTTCCGATCAAACTTCGTAGCTTCCGATCCGGTGGAAAGGGAAAGTCGTTAATGGAGAAAAGTCGAACAGCGACGAGTGGAGCCGAAGAAGGACGCGAAATGGTGAAGGTTATCTCCACAGTGATCGGGATCCCGTTTTTGCCTCCGATCAAACTTCGTATCTTCCGATCCCGTGGAAAGGGAAAGTCGTCGATGGAGAAAAGTCGAACGGCCACGAGTGGAGCCGAAGAAGGACGCGAAATGGAGAAGGTTATCTCCACAGCGAGCGGGATCCTGTTTTTGCCTCCGATCAAACTTCGTATCTTCCGATCCGGTGGAAAGGGAAAGTCGTCGATGGAGAAAAGTTGAACGGCCATGAATGGAGCCGAAGAAGGACGCGAAATGGAGAAGGTTATCTCCACAGCGAGCGGGATCCCGTTTTTGCTTCCGATCCCGAGCAAGTACCGAGCAAATATACCGAGCAATACCGAAATATATCGAGCAATACCGAGCAAATACCGAGTAGTACCTTGCAATACCGAGCAAATACCGCGCATATTCGTTTCGGGTTGGGTCGTCGGGCCGCGCGGTAAAGAGTAAGAGCCCGTGGCGATATATTATATGCTACCTGATGTATCTCTACGTCAGGTAACCTGACGCAATAAAATTTTTTCCATAATGGCTCTTAATGTGGAGGACATGAAATATAAAGAGTATATATATTTTGTATTCTATGTTATGTACGAGTATATAATTAGTCATGAAGAAAAGTTACGGTGTACATGTAAGCATTATATTTTCAATTCGAAGTGAGATGCACTCATTTTTAAATTTAGCTTGATGATTAGTTTGAACCATCTGTTATATTGATTTGGTTGATTGTGATATCTTTATCTGGTAAGTAAGAGGTGATTAAGGTTTTGTTTGGACAGCTTTTTTTTGCTTCTTAAAGCAATTTTCTAATATAAAAGTTTTAATTTTTGTTCTTAAAAGCTACTTTAAGAAGCAGGAAAGCCGTCCCAAACGAAGCCTAAATAATTATTTTAGTTATAAATAACTTATTTCTTTGGTTTTTTTATAAAATTGATATTAGTACTTTTAAGCAGGACTCGTTTATGAGAGTTTTTTATAATTTAAAGTTAATATTGAGAATTCATTAAATAATGAGTAAAATTATATATTTAAAAAATAGAGATGAATTAATTATAAAAATTTTATATTTTAAAAAAGTATATATATTTAAATAAGTATATATAATTAATTAATATTGAGAATTCATCAAATTTCTACTTTGAACGTTAAAGCGAATAACGACAAAAAATATTTGGATCGTTAATTTCTCGTAGTAGCCTCGCCGCTAAGGCTTTTAGCAGCCAATTTTTTTCGTTGCTAAATTAATTATCACTAATTAATATTTATCGCTAAAGTTGGCCATATTATTTGGATGGTATTGAGTGATTTGAATTATTAATTTTATTTATTACATTTTTCCTATAGAGTTTAAAATAAAAAATTGGGTGTAAAATGATCAACCAAATAAATCAACCCTCTTTAATTTCATGAAGTGATCATATATACAATTATGAATATCATTTTTGATGATATTCAATATAATCTATTTCATATACCATTATTATTTCTTGGCTATAAAATTGAAGATTAATCAATCACTCCTTAATATTGTTATTAGGGAATGGATCCCTAAAGAAATGTTATTGTATTATATTTTCTATTGAAATAAAATTTTGAAGACAAATTTAGTATGTTTTGATATTATCATTTGATATAATATTTTTATTACATGATTATTTATGTAATCATAATTTAGTAAATAATTATATACAAGAGAATTGAGTTATGGATAATAATCAAAATAAGTTCATAATTATTAATTATAGTTAGAATCTATAATTAAATATTATTAGTACGGTCAATAAAACATTAAGATTAGATTATTCGGATTATTCAATATAGAGATATTAAGGATGGAGGTACTTTATATATAATATGATTATATATAACTGGACTGGATAAATTTTGAATTTTCTAACAAATTCTATTTTAATTATAGAGAATTAAAAATTAATCATAAAGATAATCATATATAAAATAATCTTAATCCTGAGTTTATTAAAAAACTCCTATTTGTGACATTTGGTTTTTTGACTTACTCGAAAATAGTTTGGAAGAAATAAGCTCAATCATTATATCTTAGAAACATAATGAAACAAATGGCTGAGAATATTAATATACATATATGGAATCTATTCCTTTCATTTTTGAAAGTTAGAAAATTAATTCTCTTGAACTTTTTATGGACGATTATTTTATACATATTGATTAAATCAATGGACAATTCAATTTTTTGAATTGAGTAAATTATAATATAAATTCAAGAGTGCAATTTCATCTTTATAGTGGAATAATATTGAAATTAATAATTTTGATTTATTAATTTAAGTGTTAAATTAATGGTCAAATTTATTAGAGCTTGAATTATAGGTCCATAGGCCCCTTTTTCATCACCTAATTAATATTATATATTAATTGAACACTATCGTAAAGAATGTGCCATAATATAAATGTTAAAGTATGATTACATTAGTAACACATTTATGATTACCTTTTATTTTTATTATTTTTCATGAAGATGATGTCATTATAAATATCCTTTAATATTAAAAGATAAAGATAAGGTTGATGATCTGTCATTAATGATAAGGTTGATGATGTGTCATAATTATCATTTTAATATTAATTAAAAATGCTTAATAAATTAGTAAGAGGTGCTTATGAAATGATGTATTTAAAATAAAAAAATTGTGAACTTTTCTTATAAATAAGAATTAAGTTCTACTTGAAATAAAGATGATTGTTGCATCTTGGAGTATTTACGGTAGTAGAGAAATATAAAATTAACGTCTTAGCATTGTACAAAAATCTGGCACACAATCAGATAAGAGAGATGTTAAAACTTGTTCAATATGAATTAGGTTATTAGACCTAAGCTTATGTCCCAGCGGCTAACCAAAAGGGGGGGTGAATTGATAATTAAAAAAATTTCTCTTTTTGAATTTTAAACCGAGAATAACTTTAGTGAATTTTATAGAAAATGTTTTCAACCACAAATTAAAAGGTTAAAAATAAAAGCAGCAGAAAATAAAAAGACACAAGATTTATAGTGGTTCGGTCAAATACGACCTACATCCACTCCCCGGAGGCACCCTCCGAGTATTGCACTAATACCACTAGTGACTCTCCTTTTGCACCCACAGCAAGGCAGAGAAGCCTTTACAAAACTCTCTTCCACCACTACTCGGTGCGGCAGAGAACCGTCGTCCTTTTATACTCTCCAAGTGTTGGCAGAGAACCGTCTGTCCTTTCACACTTTCCCTGTGTAGTCAGAGAACCCTTCATCATTTCACACTCTCCCAGTGTAGGCAGAGAACCCTTCGGCTGTTCACACTCTCCAAGTGTCGGCAGAGAACGCTTCGGCTGTTCACACTCTCCAAGTGTCGGCAGAGAACCGGATCTCCTTGATAGATCTTCTCTCAAGAAATCTAGAAGGACGAGAGAAAAGAGTGAAGTAATCATAAATTATAATTGGAGATTCTTACCTTTGAGCACCAAGTGAATCCTTCATGCTCCAGTAGTAAGAATTCTCGTTCAAACTCTCTCACACACTCTATCCTTCACTCTCCCTTCAGTTAACACGAAGATCAGTAGGCAAAAAGATTACAAGACAATTTTAAGTGGACCTTATATAGTAAAGTCACAAAAAATTGTCAAAAAATTGGAAATTTTATATTATGTACGCACTCAATTGTCCCGTACGATCGTGATTTCATCCTAGACGAATAGTGTAAAAATGTTGCGTATGATCTCTTATGTGCTTTAGGACGAGTTGACTTCGTACTCGATCATATTCCCGTACGAACTATGTTCATCCGGTACGAACAGTTATTTTAAAGCCATAATAAAACATTATTGTAAACGGTCCATATATCAAAAGAATAGAGAACATCATCCTGGGATGGATGTTCATGTTCGTCTGGACGAACAGCACAAACATTGAAGTAAAAACAATATTAATACAGAGACTTGCAAAGAACTCATAGAGCAATTCAGAATTGAATGGGACAGCAAGAGTCAGACGAAAGCACAAGGAGGTATGGGCAAATAAGTCTAGTACCTGATAAGAGAGAAATTTTGGATTGACTATCCGGGAGACTGTGATTCTAGCCTTATT